CACTATTAACAAGCCCATTTGACAGATGTGGGGACTGAGGCTGGCTGAGGTGTGGGCAGGTGTCCAGGTGATCAAATCACCCTGGATTTGACCCCATGTAGATCCAGAGTCCTTCACTCACCTGCTGCCGCTGGGCACCTCTACAAGAGGGTGTTTGTATAACATTGTGTCGTGACAATAACTGTTGAAAGGAAGAAGGAGTATAGCTCAACCACCTGTCTCAACCCCGACCTGGATTCTCTGCCCCGTCTCTGTGTTTTGTGCTGAACTGTCTTCTGGGCTCCAGAGTTCAGGGTGGTGGTCTTGTCTCTTTGGCCACCTTGTAGGACTGCTAAGCCCAAGGCCATTTCTTCATTGAGCATTTGTCCTCAATGGGTTGGAAGCCACCACCCCTGGTCCCAGCTGGTCTTGGCGTCAGAAGTCCTGGGTCCAGGTTTCTGCCCTTTGTTAAAGAGTTACTTGACTCCTCACAACCTCAGTTTATGAGTCTGTAAAATGGAGCACATTGTGTCTGCGTTCAGGGGTTCAGGGGTAGGATCAAAGGGGATCGGGCATGAGAAAGCACCAAGTCCAGCCCCGATGCCAGCTCGACGTTGCGTAACGTGTGTGTGATGTGTTTGGCACAGTGGCAAGGAGAGCCACGATTGGGAACCTCAGAGGGCCGCAATGGGAACCCTGCAGGTCCGCCGCCATCCACGCGGTTGTTGTAAGGAGGGAGGGCTGCATCGCGAGAAGGATGAGTGCTCGATTTTCTTCCTGCCTTTGCTCAGCCGGGTAGAAGGTGGTTTTTCTCACCAATCATGATGTCCAGCTTTGACGACCGTCCCCCAGGCTCTGTGTGAGCTTTCATGTCTCCCTTCTTGCTGGCCAAGCCTGGACTCCACAACTCCACCACCCTGGCTCCAAAGCAGGCATGGCAAACTCAGTGCCACAGAGTCCAGGCGATAGGGCGTGGTGGGGTCTGTGGCCAAGTGGAGAAGGCACGCCCGGATCTTGACAAAGGGATGATCATTGCTGAGCCCCAGCCTCCTGTTGCCAATGCTTCTGGAATTTTTTATTTTTTATTTTTTTGAGACAGAGTCTCACTATGTTGCCTGGGCTAGAGTGCAGTGGCGTCAGCCTAGCTCACAGCAACCTCAAACTCTGGGGCTCAAGCAATCCTCCTGCCTCAGCCTCCCGAGTAGCTGGGACTACAGGCATGCGCCAACATGCCTGGCTAATTTTTTCTATGTATTTTTAGTTGTCCAGTTAATTTCTTTCTATTTTTGGTAGAGACGGGGTCTTGCTCTTGCTCAGGCTGGTTTCAAACTCCTGAGCTCAAACGATCCACCTGCCTCGGCCTCCCAGAGTGCTAGGATTACGGGCATGAGCCACTGCGCCTGGCCTGGATTTTAAAGGAGAAGCAAGGACTTCATACTTTTATAAAATGTCTTTATTTTTTAAACATGGCTGAGGCAAACAAGCCACGTCTATGTATCATCTCCACCTCCCCAGACTCCCCAGGTTGTTCCAGGCACCAGTTTTGGTTCTGGTCAACCTAAAGATACCCCTGGGACAGGGCCCTTGTTTCTATCTAAAGACACCTAACAGTACAAAGTCTGAAGCAAAAATACCTGTTCAATACGAACTGCCTAGCTCTGTGACCTTGGGCAAGTTACTTAACCTCTCTGTGCCTGTTTCGTCATCCATACAACAGCATGCTCTAATAACCGGACTTATTATGACTGTGACTATTATTTCCTTAAGGAAGATCAAATATCTGTGCAGAGTTAGTCTGCGGGGAGTTAGCTACGCTCCCAGCAAAAAATCGGGTCCCTTAGGTAGGGGTCGTCACAAAGGATAAGAAAATAATAGAAAATGGAAAATAATGCTATAGAGCACATTGTTTGCGGGGAGTTAGCTACGCTCCCAGCAAAAAATCGGGTCCCTTAGGTAGGGGTCGTTGCAAAGGATGAGAAAATAA